AAATACAAATCTGTATTTGAGAATAAATATTTGTGATAAAGTAAATGTTTGAAAGTAAAATATATGTAAAGAGCTGGTACATTAAATAGGCAATACGTATTTTGCTTATAAACTACGCTCGTTAAAGTTTATTAATTGTTAATTAATTTGTAATACTTTGCCATTCATTGGACATGTGACACAAAGGACAAATCAGGTACAAAATTCTAATTTCACTCTCTAAAATAATTTTAATCATTTGGACTGAATTTGTAAAGGATTAGTAACCTCAGGGGAGGTCAGTGTAATTGTTCAAACTACAGGGGAGGTAAGTGTAAATGTCAGAAATCCCAGGGGAGGTTTCTGAAATTATCCCTTTATTTTATAACCATTTAATTATATGGATATAAATGAGTTAGATAATTCAATTATCCATTTATTTTAACTTTTTATAAACTCATTTAAATTCATTTTTATAAACTAAATTATTAATTTATACCACTCTTTACACCCTCATTAGTTTTAGATATTTTTGCTTATAATGTTCAATAAGCCTAATTACCAATTTTTTCTATCCATGTTTTATGTTGCAAAATTACATACTATTTAATAATTGAACAATAAGAATATAAAAATTTGAACCAAATACTATGAAAGTTAACATAAAAACTTAATCCAAATACTTTGAACCATTAGCATTTTTTTCGTATATATATTTAAAATTTCATTTTTGCAAGGTAGGAAAACAGGCTAAAACTTATCATAAATTGATAATGCTGAAAAATAAGCAAGTTAACAAAGTACCAGAAAATAAAATAATAAGATAAAACTAACAAATAATAATAATAATAATGAAACAAAAGTAGTTAATATCATGATAAAATGAAGAATGTAGAAAAATATTAAGGAGGATATTTATCTGTGTCAAAAATACATCAAATGTTTGTTAAGGCTAAAAAATAAAATATTCCACGATATACAAGTCTTTTAGCAATATTGATGCATGAAAGTCTCCAACAATGAGTTCAATAATCAAATGCGAGTTTCAAATTTCTTCTAAATGGGTAGGGAAAGAAAGGAGGTATGGAGGAAAACAATTCTACACGAATTAATTGGATTTGGTGGGTTAAGCAAATAGGTATTATTATGTAACCCATTTATACCCATATACAAAAATTTAAAATATAAAAAAAAAAATCTATCAATGGGTGGTTATGGATAAATTTAGATAAATGAGTTTGTTAGCCACCTATACCTAGGAAGTATGAACATTACTTTTTTTAATCCCATTTTATTATTGAGGGCCTTTTGATAATTGAGTTCGTATAAAAAATGAAATTACTCTTCCTTGTGTGGGTGTGTGTGTGTGTGTGTGTGTGTTTTTATCTTTCTTTGACCATCTATATCTATATCTATATCTATATCTATATAAATTTGAGAAGGGATTTTTAGCAACAAGTTTTCACAAATCTTCCCACTCTCAACTCTATTTTTTTAGTATTTTACATTTAATTTATTTCGTAAAAAACATCATGGGCACATTACACCCCCACGTTTCCCTCAAACAAGAAGTTAACTCCAACTAACACTCTTTACACACCTTACTCCAACTGACACTCCTCACACACCTTCCCACTACAATTAAAACTTTGCCAATCAAGAATGTCACTTATATTAAAACTCTTCCAATTCCATCATAAGATTGCGCATGATTTCTTTCCACTTCATGTTGGTATCCTTATTAGCGCTCAAATTAAATTTCACTCCACACACACCTTTCCACTACAATTGTAACCCTTCCAAACAAGAATTTGCGAATTTGCCAATGCCATATATTGTCGTTTCTACTCTTTCAATGCCATAACCAATTCTCACTACAAATTCTATTTTTCTAACATTTCACATTTAATTTAATTTATAAAATATATTTCTCTCAACTTCCACATCTATTCTTCACATTTGAAATTATTGGTTACTTCTTAAAATCATTTCAATTCAAATTGTTGGTTAATGTGCATGTTATCTTATTTAAATTTCAACCCATCACATTTCCGATTGTCTTGCATTATTTATGAATCTACAATAATTAAAACTTCTATAAGACCATAAGAAAAGATAATAAATATAACATCCTTTCATGCTTTCTTATTAATTTAAATAAGTAAGATTATTTCCACTCCATTTTTGTTATTCACACTTCAATAATCATTTTGATCATATAAATTTCATTAATTAGACTATATGATAAAACAAATGGTGGAATTGCAAATAATAAAAAATTGAGTGCAAATAACATTTTCTTAAGTAAGAAGTGGCCTCCATACCTTTCTAAATTTAAAAAATAGTGGTTCCGCTTATATAGGAATTTGGTTTGAAGTTTATTAGTGGGAGGGTAAATAAAAAGAAAATATTGCCAAACTTAGTAAAAGTAAAAAAGTAACTGATAATATTTTATCTTTAAGCTTAGTAATCCTAAGTAAAAAGGCAAAATTAAATAGAAAATAATGTCTTGGATTTAAAAAAAATCAAGAATGGTACCATTCATGAAATCCAAATTATGAAATCACTAAATAAAAAACAAAGTATTACTAGCCTTTTAACTTGAATTTTTTTTAAATATTCATTTTTGATAAAAAAAAAAATAATGATAATAACAACACCAATTCTACCAAAAATTTTTAAAAAAGTAATATTATAGTTTAAGAGAAAGATATAGAACATTCAACCCTAAAATACTACTTAATTTGTATATATCTGGCACAAATTTGACATTAGAATTGAATAAGAGTGCAAAAGCCAAACACTAAGGATAACTTTTGGTATCATTAATAATTTTCTATATTATTATTGCTGTCTTCATATGTAATTATGTATTTGCTATGTTATATATATATATATATATATATATATATATATATATATATATATATATATATTGATTGTAGTATTTGAGGATATTGTAGATATTATCAGTTTTGCATTTCACTTTTAGATACTAATAATTGCAACCATTGTAATTAATTTTCAATTTTATATTTTCATTATGATAGGTAAAGTTAAATGTATTATGTCGCAGGGATATAAATTTAGAAGTTAGGTATAGGGGGAGGAGGGAGGGAAGAAAATGATGAGGTATTGAAAAGTAGCAGGAAAGGTTGAAGAAGAAATACGAGTTATAAGGATGGGCGGATAAGTTAAAGAAGAAGAAAGGGGATTACAAGGATATGACAAAAATGACAAAAAGATAATAATAATAGAGAGGGTGGTACCATGATAGAAGATATGAAAGTCGTAGGAGGCATCTGATGACTAGTTAGCGTATAAGAGAAGAGGAAAATGATGGTGATTTTTAATAATTTTGAGAACTCTAAAAACACATATTATGGAGAATTTTTTTTAAAAATATACGTTAAAATTTATGAAAAATACTAATCTAAATGCAATCAACAATTTTAGGGACACAAGATGGGAGAAAGATTTTTTTTTCTAAAAATGGAAGAAAATAAATTGGTTATAATTTATTTTTTTATATTATAAGTTTTGATATATGGATATAACATAATATGTTTTGTCAGATATTGATAAATTAACTTTTTTTTTAGAAAACTCTTTACACCTTACTACCCAACTTAACCCTCTCCTTAAATGCGTTAACAATTCTTTTATCATGTAAATCATTATAGATTAATTTTTTTTAAATATTAAGCATACACTTCTTTAAAATTTTTAGTCTATATATATATTTATTATTTTGTACCACAATATATAAATATATAAAATATTATTTTGATTTGAAATATCCCGTGCATGGCACGGGTCAAAACACTAGTACTATATAATTTGTCATACGAGAGAGAATAACGGTGTAACCACCGAGCAATAACATGAGTTTAGTCCCTTTTTGGATTGTAGGTTGGGGATTTGAATCCTACCTGCAGTAAAAAAAAATTAAAAAGAGGTGTTAAAGCACCCTTTGAGTCTAGCCGGATTTTTAAATCTACTAATTCCTTATACATAGTTTCTTTATAGATAGTTTCTTTAAACTCATCTACATGTAAAAATATTATCGTTAAGGTAAAAAAAAAAAGAAAAAGAAAGGACAACTGTGTGCTTCAATGACAACCTTGGAATCCAATTATAGCATGTTGTAACCCATTCTCTCTCCTTTTTTTTTTTTTGTGTTGGTTCGTTGATTCACAACAATTGGAAACAAAATATCTTGTTTAATAATATACAAAGGAAACAAACACAAAGGAAACAAACAAAGGGCCTGCTGCCACCACGAAGCTTCCCTGGAGCCATGTCCCTAATAAAAAGTTAACCAAATGCATTTAAGTTCCTAAGTTCGAGTCTCGGTTACGTTGGGTTCTTCCGCGCATTTATCGTGTTCGGGTCGGGTTGGGGCTCCAAGCTCGGGTCGCAAGGGATTAGTCGGATCCCGTAAGAATTGACCCGGACGCTCCTGCATGGACAAAAAAAAAATGTATTTACACAGGGAACCACAATTATTAATTCCCTCCAAATTGCGATTTGGCAATCTATCCAAGAATCGTGAAACACAATTTGGTCGGCGGTTGAAAAGGTATATTTGGGGACAGGAATCGATGATTCCCTCCAAACGGCACTTTGTTTGGTTAGTGATTACTAAAAGCGAACGAAAGAACAGTGGTTAATAAGGTTTATTCATACAGGGGATCACGATTTGTCATTCCCTCCAAACCGCAGTTTGGCAATTAATTAAAGGAGATGAAACATAATTTTTGGTTAGTGCTTAATAAGGTATGTTTATACAGGGGACCAGAATTAAGAATTCCCTCCAAAATGTGGTTTGGAGACGTATCCAAGAATCACGAAACGGGAGGTCCTACAAAAGGTACCTACGATAGTGTCATGTAGCAATTCAAGGTTGGATGTATAAAGAGAGATATCAATTTTTAAATAGTTTTAAGAGTTTAGATTATTTTTTTTTTCGAATTTAAGAGTTTAGATTATTGAATGATGTTACGAGACTTTATTGAATTACATGAGTATGATAGCGAAAGGGGATGGTGAAATTTCCCATCAAACATGAGCTAGTCAGTGCTTAATAATTCCGATTAATAATTAAGACATTTATGATTTATCATACTCCATGGGATCACGGCTAATAATTGCCTCCGTGCTGCAGTTTCGCAGTTAAAAATTGCCGGGAACAGCATCATTTTCTTCCCGATAATAGTTGAGTTGATCTCCTTCCTCTTCCCCCAGTTATTTTTATCCTCAAATCGGGATCAGATTCCAGAAGTAAACGATGGCAGCTGGTTCACCCCTCGAGCTCCGACCTCTTGGCAACACCGGCCTCAAGCTCAGCTCCATCGGCTTTGGCGCCTCCCCACTTGGCCGGGTCTTCGGCCCCGTCTCTGAGGAGGAAGCAATCGCCTCCGTTTGTGAAGCCTTTCGCCTTGGCATCAACTTCTTTGACACCTCCCCGTGAGAAAAAAGAAATCCCGTTTTTCATTTTGATTTTAATTAGCTGGTTTCTTTTTCTAATTTGCTGATAAAATGGGTTAATTTGTACTAACATTTGACAATTGTTTTTTATGCGATTTAGGTACTATGGAGCGACCTTGTCGGAAAAGATGTTGGGGAAGGGTTTGAAAGCACTTGGGGTGGCTAGAGATCAGTACATTGTATCTACAAAATGTGGGAGATATCAGGAGGGTTTTGATTTCAGTGCTGAGAGAGTGACCAAAAGTGTCGATGAAAGCCTGGAAAGGTTGCACCTGGATTATGTTGATATATTGCTTTGTCATGATATTGAATTTGGTTCTCTTGATCAGGTGCCGTATTTTTTGTACTTCTTGCATTTTGAATAGTAGGGGATAAGAAAATTATTTTATTAGGTAGTTATGAACTCTGTGGCTCGTTTTATTTGTTTCTCCAACAGATTGTAAACGAGACAATTCCTGCCCTTCTGAAACTAAAGGAAGCAGGGAAAACGCGATTTATTGGTTTAACAGGATTGCCATTAGGGATTTTTACTTATGTGCTTGATCGAGTACCACCAGGTACGATTGATGTGATTCTCTCCTATTGTCACTATAGCATTAATGATTCGACATTGGAAGGTCTACTGCCCTACTTAAAGAGCAAGGGTGTTGGGGTGATAAGTGCCTCTCCCCTATCTATGGGGCTTCTTACAGAAAGTGGTCCTCCAGAGTGGCACCCTGCTCTTCCTGAACTGAAGGTTTTGATTCTCTTTTCTGATTAGCATCCTTTTCTAGTTTTTATTTATTTTAAGAGCTAAATACACATACTTTCTTAACCTTTGCACGTAATTTAGAATGTAAACACTGGCAAGTTTGGTCTGTTTGTTGCCAGTGTCATGGTGAGAGCCTTTCGTATTGTATTAATTGTTTGCCTGACAAATGTTATTCCGGTATCTATGCTACTTTCATACTTGACCTCTTTTTGTGTCAAACTTCATCTTAGACGTCAATGCTACAAAACTGATCTCAGACAAATATAGTGTGTTACCTCGATGCTTTATGACAAGGTGATCATGATCTTGCATAAGTCTCAACTTTTTCACTGTAAAGAACCTTACTTTATGTAGCTTAAAGTGTGTTATGTATATTGTACTGTGTGTCGGTTACTTCTCTCAAAGTTGTGTTGAAGAAATTACCTCGTAATGGGCCAATGCCCATCCGACAAGGTGTAAAAAGTGATGGAGGATTTCTGGTAGAGCAATCTCAGGAGATAAGTGGGCAAACTCTATGAGAGTAGCCCCACAGGAGATAAGGTTTTTTTAGAAGAACGCTTGTCTGCTTGCTTGAGTGCAGTACAAATCAATTGCATCTTGGTTTATGCTCACTAACGCAGTCATCTTTTAAGTCCTTACTATTATTCTGGATGTGTCATTGTCTGGAGCTTACTCTCAATCTGGTTGAAATACCCTAGTTTGCTTTTCCTCAGGCTGCATGTCAATCTGCTTCTGCCTACTGTAAGGAGAAGGGAAAGAATATATCTAAATTAGCTATTCAGTTCAGCCTATCAAATAAAGACATCTCTACAATACTGGTTGGAATGAACTCTGTCACCCAGGTAAGGTTACTATACTGAGCCTGAATGTCAACAACGTACAAATACAAAATTTGGCCTTGTGGAGAAATTTTTCTTGTTAGCCAATGATCTTTCTTTAGTATTTCACCTAGACCACGCTTCAAGAGATTCACGATTAGCTACAATCTGTTTTATTTTACAGTCTTTGGTATCATTGCCATTCCTAACTTAAGTCATTTCTCCAATAAAAGATAAGGATCTGAAGACAAACGCGTGTGGAAAATGCAAAGCATGCATGTTTTTCTTTTGAGATAAATACTTGATGGTATTGGATTTTCATTTTAGAAGAATTATAAAGAGGTATACCGATTCGATCTAAGCTCTCTTATAAAGATTATTTCTTTGTTCTGATTTTTATTCCGTGTAAAACTTTGTTTCATTCCATGTCTCTTCAATTGTTATTTTTAACTTTTCCAGACAACTTTAAATTTAGGTTAAGAGTAGGGAATCTAGGGGATTATGAGTAATGTCTTATCATTTCCTCGGTGATACAGCACTTGACAAGCTTGAGACGGTTTTCTGAAAAGAAGAAGGCCTAGCATAATATAATTACCATGAAGAATTAGAGGAACCAGTGATCGTCCCTGGCTGCCAGATTTGGGGGTTAGGGAGGCTTAGGGGAGGGAGGGATGGGTAAAAAAGAAGAAGAAGAAGAAGAAGAATTAGCAGAACTATTATTTGTAATGAGTTGGGGGCTGCTGGTTCCTACTTTTAACCATCAGTTCCACTGTGATATAAGTAACAAACAAAGTTGTGGATCATCAGGTTGAACAAAATGTAGCGGCTGCAGCAGAGCTTGAAACAGTAGGAAAGGATGAGAAATTACTGGCTGAAATTGAGAAGATTTTGGAGCCCGTGAAGAACCAGACGTGGCCAAGTGGAATTCAGCAGCTTTGATATCGTATCTGCTATTAACTGCTTAGCATCTGTTGCATGGACATTTCCAAGGTTTCTTCTCATCTCTGTGAATCCCAAATTGGTGGTGTCTTTCCTTATTCTCTTTCTTTTTAAGGGTACCCGGTTTAGTTAAAGCTCTGTATCACCCAAAGCCAAGGGAAAATAAAAAAGAAGCTTAGCATCTTCATTCCAGATGGTGACCATATGTACTTTATCGCATTGCGTCCGAGATTACCGAACTAGGGAGTCTTACATAACACTTGTGGATCCATTTATCTTGCATTAATCCAGGAATTGTTAACATTGTCGGCTTCAACTGCGCGAATTCGGGAGCCCAAGATCACCTTAAACAAAAAATAATTGCGGACAACAATTAAGCGAAGGAGTTATACTAATTAGCATCTACAATAGCTTCTCTAACCATTAGTAAAGCCATCGGCGATTATGTCAGTGAGTGCAAAACAACAATCTCTAAACTCAGGCCAACGATCTGTCTCAAAAATTCGAACACAATTCTTGCAGTAATGAACCCATTTCTCACTTGAACTATAATCTCTGATTGTCAATCAAGTACATGGAGAGAAGATACCACTTCCACAATAAGATAATGTACATTCCCCCCCCCCCCCACCCCAAATATTAATTTTGAGATTTTGCTTTGTACAAAGTGTAAACAATCTTTGAGTTCTGCTTTCCTATTTCAAATTGATCTACATTGTATCCGTGACAAATGTCAGAATTTACTTGCATGTAGCAATGGATTCCCATTCAAATAGCAAGCAAGCATCTTCGACTTTCACTACCTCGCAACCTGCTGTAAAGGAGGCCAAGCAATCTCATTATCATCCGTATAACCACGTATGACGAAGTCTGAGCAGTTCTTCCTGCACCCGTGGTTATACGGGTTGCGAAAGCGGCCATCTGGCCCGCGAAGATATCCATAACGTATAGCATTTGCCATTTCATTTGTGGTAATATTCCTAGAGATCTGCGCGGCAGAAGACTTGATCAGTTACCAGTACCAAACACGACTGAGCATCCAAGACAACATTTTCACTATGTGAAAAGTTAAAACCCAAAACAAAAAATGGAATTTCCTTGTTCAAACTAAGCTATGTCTTCGAATTTGGCAAAAGTGGGAAGGGGGCCAGGCACTCAATTTCTAGCATTGCCGCAACAAGGCAACAACTTTCGACCACAAGACTTGAACCTGAATTTTCCGTCACAATTCACCCCAACAATACAAGCTTGAATCTTTTCTTTTTCTGGGGGCCACAGGGGGAGGAAGTGCATAAGACAAGAAAATTTTGGTTCTTCTTGCCAACTCTCTTTCATTATCTGTTCTTTTATTCCCCAGTTGTGTTTATGTGGTGGTGAATAGGAGGGTGTTGATCCATTACCTGTGAAACTTGAACTATCAATAGAGTTGCAGCAGCAAGAAGAATAGATCCATCCATGATAAGAAATGCGACAACCCCAGGGTGTTCAAAAATAACGTGATGAATCCATGTTTCTCCCTGTAGCACAAATACTGATGTCCAAATTCCTGCCATATCGAGACATTATTGTTATTCGTGAGTAAGTGAAGACATAAATGCTATCAAAGACTTATCCAACTTACTTTGAAGAGCAACAGCAGCACCAATTAATGATGTCATCATCCCCAAACAGAGAAAAATGAAAAAGTCACGTTTATTCCTCTACAAAAACATCAGAAGAAATGAAATAGTGAAGCCAAGGATAACTATTCAGTATGTAACTGCAAAGTGTAAAACAACCTACAAGTATTGCCACCAATAGTAGCAAATTTTTAGATAATATGTTAGAGAAAGTCTATATATGAAACCAAAGCCACATGAATTAACAGAGAGAGTTTGCAAGTGCAAAGCAGGATTCGGTACATTTCAGCATCAACAGCATCATATATAAGAAAGATAGTAGCAGAAGACCAAACTGTATTTAATAACTTCTGTCGCAGAATCCCATCATAAGGCTATATTACAAAGGCAGGCAACCAGTGAAACATCTCATTCTGTGTAAAAGAATTGAAGTACGTCAAAAAGTGACTCCAACTTAAGATCTCTATCACGAAGCCACAAAAGAAGCTCATTCTCCCAGGACAAATAGAGAAACACAGGGGCTTAATAAGAGTAAGAAACAAGCAGGAACCAACAAGTTGAACCAATATTGAATAACCGAGATTTCTTATGAAACTATGAACAAACCTAAATATACTGCAATATAGTTACTTTAATCAGCAAATAACACTAAGACCTACCTTCCCCACACAATTTGAGATCCAGGGACAGTGATGGTCAAACTGTTCCACACAGTGTTTGCAAGTTGGACAGTGCTTTGAGCGAACTGGTCTTATTATCTATACATAAACCAAAAAGAGAGATGACCCACATATTACTAAATGTAAGATACAAAGGATTTTACATACTCTGCTTCAAAATTTAACTAATTAGCATAGAGAAAAGTTAGTTTACATATTTCTAGAGCATATTAAATTGGTAGCAGAATAACTCAATTATAAAACCTTGCAGGTAGGGCAGAGCTGAGACCAATTTCCAGTCCAAACTGAGGAACTGTTCAAATCAATGTTCAACAAAGGATCCTGCGAAAGTTAAATAACCTAATTAAGAATCAAAAGATGAAGACGGCCATACCAAAATCTAAAATTTGCAGAAAAAGAAGATGCAAGAAGGTGATAGGCAGAGAAACACAGAAGAGCTCAAGTACCTCTGAGTCAAAATGACTATCCATCCCAGTCTTTATATAACCTGGATCTTTGCTGCAATTGAATCAGAAAGCGCCATCAGACAACATGAAAAAAAATTATGCAGAGGATTATGTGCTAAGTATCATAAAATGAGGACCGATGCAACTAGCGGTACCATGTTTGACATTTACAATAAACAGAACAAACAAGAAGCCCAGACAAAATGATCAATTGTTTCTGAAAAATTAAAGCTGAAATGGGAACTTCAAACACATAAAATAAGCAACTGCTGGTGATGACACAAAATACTAGTTCCAAGCCAACCACTATCACTTTTTCAAAATAAAATCATGACAAAGCTACTAGGCCCCAGTCACAAACAGTGCTCTAAAAGATCATGGCGAATCTTTCCGAGTCCTGGAATTGAACTTCAATAACTTCATCAAATTTGACAGATCTAAACTAGGCCATGCTTTAGCTTATTTACTTAAAAACTACCTTTTGATGCTTTAGTACAAAAGCAAATTTTGGGGACAATATGATTTCTTGCTCACCAAATTGAGTTTTCTGTTCATACTTTGACAATATTTAAGTATATTTGTATAGAAATCTAAATTATGATAATTTTAAATAGAAAAGCAATCATGTCTGCAAAAGTAAACAAACTCTATTCTATAACTAAATGATTCACATTCAGCTGCGTTTCCAGATTCAGCAATACGAGAAACCTGCTAATTCACATTTTCCACCCATAACTTGTTTCTGTAAGCAGTCTATCACAGTTGATGACACTTATCAGCTGGAAGTTAACTGCTAGACTAATCAAATGCATACACAAGTAATGAAAAGATAGATGCAAAAGAATGCAGTTCACACACAAAATGGCATTCAGATCAAAAGAAATCATAGCACAATATTCTGTATAGGATGAAAAGATACATACCTGCTACAGCGGACAAACATTACCAGTGCTGCCACTCCCAGAGAAACACCAGTCCATCCCCAAAGTCCAACTACAGCAGTTACTTTTGTCATATTTGAAGCTAGCACAAGTGTTTTGAAAAGATTAGCAAGGAAGCAATTCTAACTTGATATATGGAATAGTCTAAAATTTATAGATTTAATTACCAAAAATGACTGAATTCATGAAGAGAATGATGTTGAAAACTACAAGAGAGAACAGAATTGGAGCATAACCAATATTTCCGTTCTTCCAAGGGAAAATTTTGTTCTGCCAGCCCTTACTGTGTGCATGCAGAACATTAGACTGCAACAAAAACAAATCAGATCGTATCAAAATCAGCCTTCCTAAAGGTAAAACTGTCCTATTTTGATACTCGAGCAGAATAGATAAATTGTTTCAACTCACATGACAGGAAAGTCAAAGAAAAATCTCTACTTGACAAGCAGAAGAATGCGCTATTTCAGTTATATGTGACACATACTAACTCTCCTAATTAGATTAGGATTTTTTGTCACTTTGTTTACTTTGTTACTTCTAAAATTCTTAACTTTAGGATGCATAACTTTTACCATCTCACAATTTATATAATAGCCCCTTAGCTAAAGAACCAAAAAAATTAAAAAAAAAAAAACCAAGAACCAAATATAGTTGAATTCAAACATTACAGCACTACTGCCCTGCATACAAGAGAAGCATCACCAGCATAGCTGTCAATACTCCTAAAGTTTATCAAAAGAAATATGGATTTTAGTGTATTCTCATTCTCCCATCTTTTAAAATTGTTAAATATTTAAATGTGTATCATGAGCCAAGAACTACAGTAGGTGGAGTATGGAAAACTTTGCACGTTGAGCCACCATCAGATTTGAGTAAAACACTTCAGCAACTTGAAAGGCCTGAAACAGACAGTTTTGGGGGTAACAGCTACTAATCTTATATACAACTAGAAGTTATACCAATGCAAAGTTACCTACGAGGGAAAGACCAATATGTCGATGACCTTTGTCAAATGCAAGCTGTACAGGCGTAAACCCAGCCTTATCCTTCACTAGTAGTTCCTCCTTAGTGCCTGTGTGTAGGAGAATAGTACATGCTTCTGCATATCCTCTTAATGCAGCCCAATGCAGAGGGGTACAGCCTACATTTCAATGACAGATCAATTTGGCCAGAACGAGTTATATCAAATGAGATTACGGAAATAAGTGTCCAGTCAAGTAATGTATAAAGCATTGTGTCACCCACAGTTGCCTTTAGTTCTTTGACTAATACAAAAAGTATCCGAGTGACATACATGTTTAAGTCAAAATGGATATTCACCACCCTAAGTGAATTTGCACGATCAAATATCCTTGAGGAATTCAACAAAAGCCCTTGAGTCCCACTCATGTAAAGAACCTCTCTCTACCCTCCCTCTCCCCCTTCTTCCCCCACCCCCTGTTGCATCAGTCCTACTAACAATTCTTCTTCACTCCTCCTCCTCCTCGTGAAGGATGAACAGCCTCTGGCAGACTAGTTGTGGATTCAAAGAACCCATCAGGCATTTACCAAATGGAATATGTAATGTGCACTCACATACCCGTGTCTTGTCATGTCAACCTGTCTGCTTTCGGGTTTAACAACGAGCTGAGCAACAAAGACTCCAAGGATAAACAGAACAAGCAAAAGTGCCACAATACAATATCAACGTACCTTCTTTATCCTGCCTCCCTTGGTATGCATCTCTAAATAGCAATAATCTGATTGTATCAGAATATCCCTTGTAAGCAGCCCTGAAAGAGGCCATTTAAGCAGGCATAGGCCCATTAGCAGAAGAGAAACTCAAGTTCAGGAAACTGGCATCGTATGTCACTATTGAAATAATGATAATAATACCTAAACTAACTGAGAAAAAAAAAAGGCCAAGCAAAAGAGTAACTAATCCAACAACTGAATCACAGCATCACCCACAATATGATGGTCAAGTAAAAGAAAACTCCTGATCAATATCTTCAGCTAACAGAACAATACGCCTCTATGGATAAGCAGAGTTGCACATAATCATTAAGTAAGCACTTCAGAATACATTTAAGTTGTACTTTCATTTACCATATTAGCTAGTATGGCAGACAGATGCATTTAGCAGACAAAAAACAACATCTGTCATTAAAACCGCTAATCCAGGTAACTCCAGATATTACAAGATTCGGATCACCCCTTTGCTCTTATTTGACAATAATAGATGACTAGATCGGTAGTTCTAGAACAAAAAATGAAAATTAGAAATAGCCCTGTTAATAGAATAAGAATGGGACCAGATTTCTCTATCTAGACTCATTTTACCGCTCAATGTGACAAAAAAAGCAAGAGAATGCAATAGCACACAATTTCAATTTTGACTTTCCATCTATATCTCATTGTTCCTCTTGTCTTCCAACTTTTCCACTCAATTCCTTTACCCAATTTCATTTAGATGCCCCATCTAGGTATTGAAAATTTTTGAACAAGTGGTATGCTGGAGGGATTTTACCCAAAGCAAAAAAGAAGAAAAAAGGAAGAGGGAAAAAAAAGGGGAAGAAGAAGATACAGATGCAGCAAACAAATATAACATACCAATGTAGGGGACTTCTTCCATCATTATCAGGCACATCAAATTCAGCATAATACTTTGCAACAATGTGATTTAAGAATGCTGTTTGTCCATATTGAGCTGCTACATGAACTGCCTGCAATGTCAGTAGTTACTACTTTGAAATTAACTGCCAAGGTATTAGTTATCTGAATTAAATCAAAAGCAACCTTTAATTTTGGGTGCACAAAGTTCTGCCGAGTTCATACTTAAATTTTCTCCCCAAGAAAAATTAAAAACTTCAAATAGAATGTGTTTTTACGTTCCGACAAATATCCAACTTGAATTGCATCTTACATGGAATAATGAACAATGACACTACTGAAAGTAAGTTTCAGCGGTAATTACTACATCATAAGAATATTCAACAAGCCAGCAAAACATTACCCGATAACCATTAACATCAACAGCCTCGACTCGCGCCCCGTTCTGCAACAGAACATCGGCAGCTGCAATTGATCCCCTGACAGCCGCCCAATGCAACGCCGTTTGTCCAGAATTGTCCGAAGCATTAACATCACCACCGCGCTTCAAGATGATCCAAATAATTCGATCTTGGAGCAAAATTGAGCCAATAAAAAAAAAAAAAAGAATCTTCGAACACTAATTAATTCCTAAAGAACAATTACCTGGATGATATATTGTGCTACATCAGCGAAATTATTCAGAGCAGCCCACTGGAGAGCGTAGTAGCCGTTGCCGTCGGGTTGGGAGACAGAAACGCCGTCGTTTTCGACGAAATTTCGAAGTTTGTCGAAGTCGCCGTAGGCGGAAGCGGAGAAAATGTCAACAATGGCAACCTGGGTAGGGTTTTGACAAGCGTTCTTCTGATCGTTGGAGTCGGATACCATTTCGATCTCGGATGACGCCATTTTCAGATCAATCATAACATGCCAGTAGTATACTACTATTAGAGCTTCTCTTGACAGAAGTAATTAATTTCGGGGGTTTAGGGCTTAGGGTTTATATATAATGATTCGATGGGCGGGATTTTCCGTTTCAATTATCAGGTGCTTAAGCGCTTTCCGCCAGCTTTTAGCTTTAGCAAGATTACTTACCAGAGAAGTCCAGACTTCAGACTTTGACTCGCGCGGCTGAAAATTTCCAATCAGGGACTCTACAAAAAGATATTTGCGCAACCGGCGACACAATCTTTGGATATTCATCTACTTCCCATTTAAGTTTTGTACTCCATGTTAAGTGCCCATTCAACACAATCAGTTCTAGTTTACCTAATATATTTGCAATTATTCTGGTCCAATTACCATCTAGTGTAAATATCTGGCAAAAAATATTTCCACTCTCAATATTTTTATTTGGAATTTAAGATATCCTGTATATTGTTCGCATGCTGCATTCAAATAAAAAATCTTATGCAATTTAATACATATTGTTGTATGAATCTTGTCGTTGATAGAAGATTAATTGTGATTAAATATTATAATATGGCCAATAAATGTGTAGAGGTAGTAAGTTGTAATGTAAGTCTAGAATATGAAATCACCAAATGTTGTTTTATTATATTGTGTCACAAAAAATATGAAATCATCAAAAGTCGTTCTTTTTTTTTTTTTTTTTGTTTCCTTGACATTTCTCACCTCTCAAATGTGACGTAGTTATTTCTTTATTCTTCGATATATTTTACACTATACTTGCCTCCAAATTTCAAATAGTAACTTGTCCGGATCAAGGGTCTCTTAAGTTGAACTTTGTAATTTTTATGACTTTTGATATAAATTCAAATAACCTTAGTGTAGTTATAATTTTCATACTACTAATTTAATTGAATGAGCCGAGAAATTTGCTTTTATACAAAAATGGGGACATGTTAATTATAATTACATGTATCGTGCAAAATTAGAGACAATACTACAACTTGAGAGGTACAGGCTATATAATTGGAGCTTGCATTATCTCCGATGATATGATATGAAAGTGTCAATCACAACCTTTTTATATTGATTCGTCCAAACTCGCTCATTAATAAATGGATCCGAGAATGCAACACAGTTTGAATGAATTTTAACTTTACATGAGTAACTCAGTTAGATTCATTTAATTAGTAGATAATGGGTTAACTCATTTAACCCATTTAAAAGTAATTACACATTCAAAATCAATATTTGGTGAGTATTAAGGGGATATATTTGAATTTCTTATTAATAAATCACAATAAAATGTCATTGGAAAGAATTAAAAAAAAAGAATTTCAAACAGGTCATAAACTCATGCACATTTATGCCTATTTAGTATAAATGGATCAATTTAATTATACCATCGCCCAATTATAATCCGTCCAAACCATTCTGACTCCGCTGAATGTTAAGCTATCTATAACTATGCACAAAAATTACTATAACAACTTACATTTTTTCAACCGTCGAGATAATTGAAAATTTTCAACAAAGTTAAATTAACACTCGAAAGTAATCGACGTCAAGGTACTAAACACAATCTAAGGTACTATAACAACTTACAGCACCTTGCAAAATGTTTCGAAATTAAACCAACACAGAAGGACGAGAGGGAAGTGAGGTGAACTGTTGAGAACTGTTCCGATAAGTATATGGCAGTTGCAATTATCAATGTAGCCAATTTGGGAGTTTATGTTAGAAAAGAAAACATGGGAAATGTTAAGTTATGGAAGACAAAAAAAAAAAAAAAAGAAGAGGAGATTTTAACGTTGTTGTCTGGAAGTTAAGGTAAAAAAATGGATGACTTCGGATATATGTATTAATAAAAAATTGTTCAATACACATTTGAGTACAAAATTAGTATTTAAACAAATTTTATTCGACAATCTCAGCTTCTCCTTTACTTTCCAGCCATATCGGGCAGAAAACTTTGACAAGCAAAGTAGTAGGAGTTCATCCCTTCAAATCATATGCTTTCCGCTCTTTTTCTGCCGCTCAAAGACTGCCAAACGTTAGAAAGACGCCTTTTTTGTCACCTTCTTTTCTTTTTTCGTCAAATCACAGCTCCCAAACTAGCTATAGCGACAAATCAAACATCACAATCATCTCGTCACCACATGATTCTAATGTTGGAAATTTCATTAGCAAGCAAGCAAATTTTAAGCAACCAAGAGGAAAATGAAAAATTTTATACAAGCAACAGCGAGCTAATGCAATATTGTTAGGAATGGTAGCTGCCGGAGTTATGGTGTCATTGATACCAGGGATCGGCTCCACTTTGCCATTAACGAAGAGCCCATTTTTCAGGCGATCGAGTACTATCAGCCTCCGCTTCATCAGCGAAAACACCAAGCGACTTGAGCAGCAGGGGCACGCCATTCGCTGTAATTTTAACCACCCTGGTTACCAGATCCAAGAAGAAGGCCAGGTTGATAGCCATGATTACAGAGTCTTCTTGCTTGATAATACTGGCAAAAAGGTATACAAAAAATAATAGGGGAAAAAAAATCAAATTCTTCGTATGTTATTTGACCATGATCTGACGATATTGTGTCAGAAAATGTTAAACCAACTCACTGAACTAAAGAGATAACTGACTCAGTGAAGTGAGAGAATGGATAAATTGGGTTCTTCTGTCAACGTTTCAGTTTCAATTATTTCATTAGATGAACTTTGCTCAGTTTTGGAAACGTGTTAAAAGGGGTGAGGAATCCTGCTGCTTAGAATCTGCTCTTTGTTTTAAAACAAAACAAAGACCCTTTAAATACTGAGCTATATTCGGTCCAGGAAATGCTCGAATTTGATGTTGGTGATTGGCTAAGAAAGTGTGCAATAGATTAATGTACTTCATTTTGTCTCTAACACCTCAAAAGCAATTATGATCTTATATTACATTTGTGTGAATGGTGTAGCTACATGGAAGATGAACTTGTGACTTGTGTCTCATACTGTCTATCTTCTCGTCTGATTCCTGCTTCTTTTTTTTTTTTTTTTGAAACAGTGTTTATTACATGTGCAGATTTCGCCTTGGCATGATATACCCCTACACGTTGGCAACGGCGTGTTCAATTTTGTTGCTGAAATTTCTAAAGATTCAAACTTGAGAATGGAGCTTGCCACCGATGAACTATACACCCCTCTCAAACAAGATAAAATAAGGGGTAGAATTCGGTAATGCGTGCAAGGATGCTTTAACTGTTGTCTTCATGCTAAGTGTATTCTCTCCGTTAGGCATGCTAGGAAGTTTCTAAAATTTGCATATCTTTTGGTTTTTGTATCTTAAGTCATATTGACATAGCATATAAATATCTGTTTGCCAGCTTCATGCTAACAGTAATTCTTAGCAAATTTGTTTTCCTCAAGAGATGCTTAATGAATGTAATGAAAATGATACAGTTAGGCTACAGGGATTACTAACTTGAGCTTTCAATCAAGGAAATGATTATAGCATTTTTGCCTCTAAGGTTTTTCTACAACTTCACCTTTCGGCTGCTAGCTTTCTCCGTCTTCTGGGAGAGCTACTTTCTCATTGTTGAAACCAGCTAGTCAGATAAGTGAATTCAACCATATTTTATAGGCAATCGTGTCATTAAGGCTGGCAAGCATTAAGCAGTTGACTATCAACTTTAGTTTACACAAAGGAATATAAGCATGGTGTGGTTGGAAAACAGTATCAATGGCTGATCTATTGCAGATATCTTATCTATGTCAATGATAGTTGGATTTGGCACTTAAAAGGAATCTAAATTAAAAATTTTGTAATTTCCCGAGTATTTTTACAAAATGCATATGTAATAATACCAAGTGTCTTAATAGGAGATAAGAAGGCCTGAACATAGACAAGATTGTTTATCGGGCCTTTAGGTGAACGTTTTATGTTTTGGTTAAAGTTTTTGTGGGAACATTGTGTAATTCATTGCAAAATGTATCTTCTTCTTGTTTCTTTTTCAGCATTAGTTACCATCATATAATTGTCTTAGATGCAATATGAAGTGGAATTATGGATTGCTTCCTCAAACTTGGGAAGATCCTTCATCTGCAAATCCAGAAGTTGATGGCGCATTTGGAGATAATGATCCTGGTAAACATCTATCTATTCTTATCTTGTGATCAACGTTTCTACTGAAATAATGTGTCTTTTCCTACTGCTCCAACCAAAAGGAATAACAGTTTTATAGAAAGCATATTTATTTCATACATCTGAGAGTCCCTTCATTTTGCAGTTGATGTTGTTGAGATTGGGAGCACCTGTGCCAAGGTTGGTGAGGTTTTGAGAGTCAAGCCACTAGCTACTCTTGCACTGATTGATGAGGGTCAACTTGATTGGAAAATAATAGCTGTTTCCCTGGATGATCCAAGATGTTCTCTCGTTGATGATGTTCATGACATTGAAAAATATTTTCCGGTATGTTTAGGTTCAATGAAGCTCACATTTTTGCTTTACAGCTTCTTTTTTCTGTATTCCATTCATCTGCAGATAATAATGTTCTGTTTTTTGGCTTATTCTGTCAGGACAATTTCTCATAATGGTATTAAAAGATGTAGGACTCCCACCGCATCTCAGTATAAAGTTTCTTTTCAATTTAACAGCATGAATGTCATTTTGGAGGCCTAGTTTCTGGGTGTTTTAAAAAGTGGTGATTTGGTAATCTAATGAGGGCTACCTAATAATCTGGCCATGAATCGCTTTTTAGTATGAGATAATTCAACCTGGGCTTCACATTGTTCTTCTAGACATCTGTAAGCATGCAAAAGAAAGCATGATTAATTAGGTTAAGAATTTATAATTGGATGAATGATCACATTAACTTGACAATCCATGATAAAGTATGTAAAATATGTGATCTATTGAAGACAAAAGCAGCAGGCAAAGAATTAATCTGCTAAAGAGAAGTTCATATTTGGTAAAAATGTCTCTTACCGACAAGGCTGATTGGCTGGCTCCCACCTGGAATAACCTTCTTTATAATCTTTTGCAAATTGATTGATCTATTTCATGATAATACATTTCTCTGGTCCAAGACTAAGCATACATTTCCTTCAGGCCACCCTAACTGCGATCAGCGAGTTTTTTAGAGACTATAAGGTCTATGATGGAATACCTGGCAACAAGTTTGGTCTAGGAAACAAGCCAGCAAACAAGGTACACGGTCAATAATGCAAGATCCGGATTTGTCTTTTACTGAATGGATGAGTTAAAAGATATTCCATTTTCCTGATTCTGGAAATGTCCTTTCATAAAAGGTTTGATTTCTTGTGAATCAGTCATACAACCCATATTCTGCTTATTATATACCCTTATCATAAATGCTCTATGGCTTTTTGTTTTTGGTCTGCATCAATGTCTCAAGCTGCCCGAGTTCATAGAGTGCTAAAACTCAGGTTATCAATCATTTATATATGGATCACCAAACTCTAGTAATCTATTAAAGTTTGTCAGTAATCTCAAGCAAGATATTATGGTACAACCTGGAAACTTCCATTCCAACTTATAATTAGGCTAATGCATTTGTTTCTAAAAGTCCATTTAGTGGCAGCCCTTTGTTGAAAATGCCTGCTAACAGAGAGGGAGAAAAAATTCCCTTACCATGTCATTGCCTACTGAATGTAGGTTGGGAAGAAGGGGTAAAGGAAGGGAGTGTCTTACTGTAGGTTTGAGACAAGGAGGGAGGGTTAGAACAGCCACACAATGCTATGTCGAGGGTAATTTCTCTTAACATTTTGGGGCGGAATTTGTACTCTTTTGCTGTTGTGAATACTTCATTGGCAATTTCTCTTCTTATACTTATGTTCTTGAGACAAAAGAAAAGTTACTTGGAAGAGAGATTATAACCCGCACACATTCTTTTTTCGAGGTCAGAGGAAGGTGATACTTAGCCCCCCCGGGGGTGGGGGTTCCCTGGTTGTACTTTTGCTCTCAAATATGTTTTCGTTTCTAAATTCATATGAGCATAATGGGGATAACTGCTAATTGGATGGCCATCGGGGTGGCTAACTACTTGATTGTGTATCAGTCTACCCGTTCTCTTGACTTCCCTCTTGCACCTCCTTTTGGCTTTTGACCTCCCCATTATCCTATCCTCCAATGGAGACGAGATGACTGATGAGAGGAAAGAAGCACATCCACCTATTGAAGTCTTTTATGATGAATGAAAAGGCTACGAGAGCAAAGAAAACAGAAATTGGGGGACGGAAGAAGTGGAAGACAGGAGAAGTAATCAATTTTCATGCAGACATTTAAAGCTGTTTATTGTTTGCATACGTCTTTGTTTCTTTCTCTACTTTAGCTCTTAAATATTATGTCCTCCTTGTGGTTTTGAAGAATCTAATGATTTTTGGACAGGATTACGCTGTCAAGGTTATCAGGGAAACCAATGAAGCTTGGACTAAACTTGTCACAAGGTCTATCTCGGCGGGTGAGCTCTCCCTTGCATAGACGTAATTATTGAGCGTTTGCGCTATTATTGTGTCTCGTATCCTTGGCAAAAACAGAAATGACCTGAAATCTCCCACTGGATTCTTTTTCTGTAACAAATGTTGATGATGATAATAAGCTTGTCAGTCATGACAAAACCTGGTGTTTTAGCAAATATGATTGATTGCACGCAAGAGCTCTCAAATCATTTGCTGAATCACATGGCGAAGGCGCGCGCGCGCACACGTACACACACATATATTTAAGGGCGGATCCCGTTTCGTCTTTAGAAATGATTTGTCCAACACTTGACAGGTCAAGAATTCATCACTTGGACCTTGCTCAACGCTTCCTCCGCCTGCTCTTGAAATCGTAAATGTCACAAATGACTTTGTGCCGTGCGTCCCAATCAACAGAGCGGTACACTTATGAAACAAAAGTTACCTCCACCACCTGCATCAACCAGGATGGCCGCGACGTTTGTCAACATTTTCTACGACGTTTTTTCCGTGAAGGAGAGCCTTTAGGAAAGTCGACGGCTGCTACTTTTGAGCTCTGAAGAGGATGACATCGTCCGTCCCTAGGGGTGGAGCTGAACCAAGTAGCTCGGCTCAAACTCGCGAGCTACTTGATCAGCAGCTCGAGCTCTAGTTCGGTTGACTAAACTCGATCTCGAGTTCGAGCTGCTCGTTAGAGCTATCGAGTCGAGCTCGATCTTAGAAATATAATACTCGAGAGTTCGACGAGTTCTATCGAGCTTTTTATAATATATAATTTAATTTTTATTATTGTGAAATATTAATAATATCCTTTATTTAAAATTATATATAAAATATTAATTTTTATTACTTGAGCTTGATTAGGCTTGATTGAGCTCGAATAAGCTTGATTTGAATTGGTTACATTTAATTAAACTCGAGCTCGAGGTCGAGCTCGAGTTCCATAAATTGATGTCGAGCTCGAAGTTGAGCTCGAGTTTTATAAATTGATGTCGAGCTCTGCCTCGAGTTGAGCTTGAGTAGTGCACTATTCAAGCTTGACTCGACGCTACAGCAGCGTCTCGGAGAGCCCAGTCATTGTTTAACCTGAGTAGAAGAAAACATAATACGTACAATAAGTGATCATAACTCAATAAGTATCTTTTCTTAATCTTTTGAAAGCAAAGTCATAAAATAAAAGTTGAAAACCTTGCTACTAATCGATTATCCCCTGCCGATTCGATTATCAAGTTTCCAGTTCTTGCGGTTATTTTCGATTCTCAATCAAACCTGGTTTTAATTGATTTTTTTTCAAAGCGATTTTTTGAATGAATTTGAGTTGAAAGTCTAGCTGATTTTTGGTTCAACCGATCGAACCAACTGATCTGATCCGAGTTTAAAAATATGGATCAAATTTTAAAAAATCGCTGCTATCTTTTCTTAATCTTTTGAAATAGTTTCAAAAAATTTTCGTGAGGTTTTTTATTTTTGATTCATTGACCTCTCCTAAATTTCTAACAATATCACTTATCGGTAATGTAACCAAAAAAAAAAAAAAAAAATTTGGGTGTAATTTTTTGGCTTGTGGCAACTGTCTCTTAAATGCAATTTGGCTTGACTTAAAAATGCAATTTGGCTTGTGGCAACCTGACACGCTACCCACGAGCCACGGACCTGGTTAAATAAACGCTGTTATTGGTAGGAACAGATGGATGCTCTTAGTGCTTTATTCCTCTGCTTTTAATTGCATTTTTAAGTCACTATAAGCCTGTGAGAAGAACTAAGACCAAATTTCTAGAGATTTTATAAAAAAAAATACTATAATGATAGAATATATATGAAATAAAAAGATAATTGTGCGATGTGTCAATGAAAAATTTTGTTTTTTTTTGGAAAACTCACAATCCAAATAAGATCCTTTTTTTTTTAATAGTATCTTGTGATAATCAATCGCATTATTTTTAGCTTAAATGATGATTGCAGTTTGGTTGGTATGGACCTACAATTGTGGGACAAATTGAAGAAATTATAATTAACACCCACACTTGACCGCGAGATAATAGTAACATAAATTCGGAATAGACTCACAACTTGAAAATTGGACACAAACTCTTGGCACCCCTGATTATTTTGCTTAGTGCAAATGAAATCTATAGGTACTTGATATGGCATAACTGAGAGTTGAATCTCGTATCAAGGCTAAATGAATGCACATTACTGTAACCTTCGATTTTTATGCAAATTTTTATTCACACAAAAAGAGTAAAAAAAAAAAAACTTATTTTTGTGCTTGATCATCAACATATTTACTGGTTAGATTTCGTATTCGGTCACTTTTCAGAGTAGAGTTAGTATTATTTATATACAAAATTTGAAATTACAGCTAATTTGATAGCATATTTTTTGTCTTACCAATTAATCGGGGTGAGAATTTTAATCAACGATGAGGGTATATTATATATACCTATATATCAAAAAACCAAAAATGTGGTATAAAGAGTTGTATTGTATGCCTTAGAGCCTTTTGTGCAACAGTCAACCAATCAGGGCTTACCGTTTGGGTCTGTGGTCAACAATTAACTAGAGCGGTAAACAGGAGTAAGCCCTGCTTCTTTGCTCGTCGATTATCAGCAATCAACAATCAGAAGCAGCAGCAGCAGCAGCAGCAATGGCGGCCACTAGAGCGATAGTGTCAGCAAGCAACACTATCACCACTTCATTATTGAGAAAAGCCCCATTGCAAGGCCCCAACAGCCTCAGCTTATGTTTCAACTACAGCAACAAGAGTGGACTTGTTTTACAAAAGAGGAGACTTTTTACCTGCAGTGCTATCTATAATCCCCAAGTTCAGATTAAAGAAGAGGGCCAGCCTGAAACTCTTGACTACAGAGTCTTTTTCCATGACGGTTCTGGCAAGAAGGTCTCTTTTTTTGTGGGTTTTATTTTCTTTTGGTTTTTTGGCTGGTTTGTGCCGAAATTCGTTCAAAGATGCTTGCTTTATGACCTGGGATTGAAGGGTTTAGTTAGTTCTGAAAATGATGTTTATTTGTTTCCTTTTTTGTGCTGGAATCTGTTTAAAGATGCGTGCTTTTATGGCTTGTGATCGAAGAAGGGTTGTTTGATTTTGAGAATGTTGTTTTTGTGTTTTTTCAGATTTCTTGTTTGATATTCTCAATCGCTTAATAGAATAACTATATGCTCTTTGTACTTCATTAGACTGTTGGAGTTGTCTAGATACTGTTGGTTTTGTAGCGAATGCTGAAAAATTCTTCTTGACATTCTTAAGTTCGAGTTTCTGAACTCCCATGTTTAAGCGTTTAGCGTGTTAAAGTTAGGAAAGGGGAAAGCTACCCAACTTCTGCTTTTGTTATTATACTTTTGAATTATTTGGGAGATTTTAAAACTTATAGTCAAGTTTGTAATTTGACAGTATAAGCACTTCATTTGCCTGGTTTCTGGTTACCATGTGAGCCTTTTGATATCTTGTTTGCTAATATTTTTGTAGTTTTAGTCGAATAAATTAAGGGTTTTATACAAGCAAATGTTTAGAATATTGAGGGGCCATTCCTCCTTGGACCAGATTTAGAATTATAGTCCGTTGATTATATTGCTTCTTAAGCAGAGTAGTTGGCAATGTGTAGTTAATAAGTAATGGTTTCTCTCGTAAATTTTCATGAAACATTCTGTATCAATTTTATGTGCAGATTTCTCCTTGGCATGATATTCCATTGCATTTGGGTGATGGCTTGTTCAATTTTATTGTTGAAATTCCCAAAGAATCAAGCGCAAAGATGGAGGTTGCAACCGATGAACATTTTACCCCTATAAAACAAGATACGAAAAAGGGAAAACTTCGATATTATCCGTAAGACTAAATTCATATTCTTTTTATGCTTTTTATTTACATGTCTTAGGCTTGACTGATCACTGCTGCTGCCCAATTTGGAATCACTATGTTAACTTACTGGTGACAGACTGGTTAATGGACACATTTCAATTGATTTTGTACTCGGTGCAAATTATGTTAGTGCCTCACCTATGAGTTTCTTTGCTGGTTCTCTCTGATGGTTCATGGACCTTAAAGTACCCTTATTTCTCATTCCCTTGAATAAATCAAGAGATTCCAAAAGATAGATATCTCTGACTAAGAATTTCCTTTTAGAATTCTTCACATGGCAAGTTCAGATTTTCAACCAGTCACACCTTAGACGTTGACTAAATCACCAACCATTGACATTCAGCGTGGAAGTTTTGGCTCCTATCAGAGTGATTATTATTTCCTTCAGTGGCTGATGTTTGGTTTTGGGATTCTTTTTATCTAGCAAAAGAACACTATCATCTGTTTGTAATTCTATGCACATATTTCAGTTATATGCATATTACCTATTGCACTAGCTTTTATCTCTTTAGGACATCTGATCTTTCTTCACATTTTTTTTCCTTTCTTCCTTTATTCAGGTGCCATTTTTCTGTAATTTCTCAGGTACAACATTAACTGGAATTATGGGTTGCTTCCCCAGACATGGGAAGATCCTTCATTTGCGAATACTGAAGTTGAGGGGGCATTTGGAGATAATGATCCTAGTATGCTTGCCACCTGCACCAACATTCCATGATAGCTTGATTTAACTGAATTGCTCATTCGGCTTCCTATAGAAGCATTGTAGATTTATTCCAAAGTAGCTGGCCTTTTAAATCTTATCTAATCAGTGCTTTTATCTGCAGTTGACGTTGTTGAGATTGGCGATAACCGTGCCAAAATTGGCCAGGTTCTGAAAGTTAAGCCTTTAGCTGCTCTGGCAATGATTGATGAGGGTGAACTTGACTGGAAAATAGTTGCAATTTCTTTAGATGACCCAAGAGCTTCACTTGTTAATGATGTTGATGATGTTGAGAAGCATTTTCCGGTATGCGAAGTTTACGTTTATGCTACATTTTCTTTTCCTGCTGTTCTGAAGCATGTTTAGTCTTTTTATGATGTGAACTGGGAATTTATGTATTGTAGCAACATAGCTGAAGAAGTGACATAATCATCCATA